CTTGTTGAGTTCTGATGTCATTTTTCTCTTAACTGCAGGTCACTTCATGGGCAACAACACAGTGATTGATGTTTTGAGGAGAGAAGGATACGAGGTAGAACACACTCCAGCTGGACAAGCCATCAACAAGTAATGCATGCTTTTATCTAGCTAAGCAGCCATTGGGTGGGTTTGTAAACAATCCTGAAGAGGTAGTGGCAGCTGCAACTATACCTAACAGTGAGCTGGGCTCCCTCTCTCTTCTCCAGCAGTTTGCTCTTCTCTTCCATGAGCCAGTTTGGAAACAGGATTTTATCTGGTTTGGGCTTGGGTTTTTTTGATGTTTTATTTGGGGGATATTTTGGTTGTTTGTGGGTTTTTTGTTTTGTTTTCTATTTTCCCCAGTAAGATTTTAACTTTTAAAGTAACAGCTGTAGAGTACGCATGCTTGGTTCATCAGATCTGGATGCTGTCTCTTACCACATAGGCTTCCAGGCTCCTCTTGGAAGTGTTTGACTGCCCTACTTTTTAAGACTCTTCCTTCTCTTACACTGTTATTTTTGATGCTTTCTGATTACTCTCTCTCAGCTTGGAATCATGACTGCCCAGAATCCACCCAGCCTTTTTGCAAGCTGTCCCCATGACTGATTGCTGTCATGTCTGCTGCTCTCTTCTGCTTTTTTAAGCCAAGGTACTTGCTGTTCTGGTTCATCTTGCAGTTGTCCTTCGGGATATACCTTTACTGCCTTTTTGTATTTCTCACTGAGTGCCTTTATCGATCTCCATGGTTTCTGTAACTACAGAATGCCAAATAATCTCCTCCTCCATGCTCTGCTGAGAATTACATGTGGTCTTAACTCACCTCTTCCTGGACTTCTTGCCACCAGCTTAGGATCTGCAATCCTTGTCTCCCCCTTCTCCAGACTCTTGCCAAACATGTGATTTTCTGTCTCTCAGATATCCTCAGTCTTCCTTATAGTCACTGCTAAAAGACCACAGTGGAAAAAAGGTTTCATCCCAATTATGGCACTGTTTTCCTTTTTATCCTCTGTGCCAGGCACGCTATCCCTCACTGCTTGCATCCCTGTTCCACCTCCACATTTCTAATATGGGACTCTTAGGCAGGATGATCACTTTTTGTGCAGTGCGGAGTGTTGGTCTGTGGCAGGGGCTCCACAGATGTGGTGCAAAATAATAACAGATGTTTTTCTCATAATCTAGTTGCTTCACCTGTCTTTTTGCACCACTTTTGCTGCCTTTTTCAGATTGTGGTATTCAGACTCTGGCAGGTCATGTTTTTGGTATGATTCTTGACATGGATATACATCATTAACTCTATGTGTATGGAAACAAACTGAGCCAGGACTCATCGCCATGAGTATAGGAATGCAGCCCCTAACCCTGTTGCCACCAGTGGGCAGGTAGTCTGACATGGAGAAGCCCCCTCTGCTTAAGCACAAGGCTTAATGATCCTGTAACACTTTAGTCATGCTAGACAATCCAGTGTATCCATGTTTATGGGGGCAGTCAAAAACCTGCCTGCACTTATATTTTTGTGTTGGTTTTTTTTTTTTTCCCCCAGAACATTCTTAGTTTAAGTACTCCTAAAAACAGCCATAGCAGCTTCTTAAAGCTTAAAAAAAGAGAGCTTAATATGTACTTGAGAATAAACAAAATCTGATACTGCTCTGTAAAGCTGTAGCTGTAAGGAAATCAAGGGCAGGCAACTGTGGAAGGGAGGGCTAGATCTTCAACCATCAGGAAGGTAGGTATCAATGATACTCAGGGTAGCTGGGCACCCAGTTCTCTGACCACATCATAGGAGTTCGTTGTCCAGCCAGTGGCTCTTCCGCCTTTGAGCGGTTTCACATTGGTTGCATCTCAAAACTTTCATTAGGACTACTGGACGGAACATCTTTCCTGGACTCTTGATTTTAAAGCTGAGTGAAGAAGCTAAAGAAGATGGTACTTTAGTGTTGTCTTTGAGAAAAAGTGTTAACGTTTCCAGATTACTTTGAAACAGATTTGAAAATATGAAACAAGTTTTAGAAAAAATGTGAGTTTTTTCTGAGGAGAAGAGCATTTGAGGTGAGGGAAAGACCTGTGGCAAGAGTATGTCAGAGTCCTGGAGGTTGGATGGAGAGTTTCACTAGATTGTTGCTATTCTGGGCTTGTTCTAGGAGCAGATACCAGGGCAGTCTGTGTCAATAAACCCAGACAGCTCATGTAAACGTGGAACCATATCTAGCTACTGTCTTAGATAGCAGTGCTGCACACAGTCTAGTCAGTACCCGTGGACAATTTCACAGGACAAAATTGAGAGAAGAAAAAAATGGTAAGTGGTTGAACTGAGACAGACCATTCAAGTGGCTGTTCTACTGTTGGATACAGTAGGGGATATTAGTTGAGCAGTCCTAAAACAAGAGGAGGAGCAAATCTTCACTGCATCCCTTCCCTGCAACATGACGTTGTGCAGTAGCAGCACAGTTTGCTGCTTCCTGTGCTCTGGCTAAACAGAGAGTCCCTTCGGAAGTATCTTGCAGATATCTGTGTTTAGGAACACAGAAAGACACAGGATCATTATGCATGTTTTCCTGTAACAGGCAAACTGCTGGGTGCAGTCACACGATTTCATCTGCAGACAGGGCTGCCTGAGGTGTGCTTACCATCTGTGGAGGGAAGGGGATGAATGCCCATAGTGAAGTGTGGAGGCAGGAGGTCTCCTTCTTCGTGGTGCTGCCAAAGCGAGGAAGGCAAAAGAGGTGCTACAACCATGCAGCAGTGCAAAGGACAGTTTATAAATAGTGCTACAAGTTCAATCAAGCTCCTACTGTCTTACTCTGGGCTTTAAGTGTTATTCCTGATTTTAGAATGCATGTATATATTTTAAAATATTCATCACATAATTGCAGACATAATTAAGGTGCTTCCTGACTCCTCCTGTAGCTGCTGTGCTGGGAGAGGGAACTGGGCTTGGGGAAGGACATGCTTTTGCATCTATATGCCTTTTCCTGTGGTTGCTTAGTCAGTCCCTGGAAGAATTGCCTGCAGGAAGTGTTGCAAAGGAGGTTTTGTATACAACTGTGTGTTGTTAATAGTGTTCTGAGGCTGCAGGTATCAGAATACGTGGCTGACCATGCAGGATGGAGGTCATCCTGGCTGTGCCTGTAGCAATGCTGAGCTCCAGCATGGTATGGCCAGGGAGGCTGCAGGCAGCAAGGCATTCTAATCTACGGGGTAGGGCTGGTGCCTTCACACTTGAGGAACAGACACAATCAAGAGAAATCAGGGAAAAGGGAACCATAAACAGAGGACCTTCAGAGGGATCAAATCAGGTCACTGGAGACAACTGGGGGGGGTCACTCTATAAGGTGAGTTAACAGTGGGTAATGTGAAGATATTGTGGAGGAGGGTCGTCACACTTCAGAGGTGATAAAGTGAGAGTGTGAAAATCACAAGGATTTTGAAAGAGAGAAATAGCCCAAGACCCATTCTGTGCCAGTCTCTGTCACATAAAGTTCACCACATGATCAGTATGTGATTTTCCTTGGAGGAAATAAGATCAAATTCTCTTCATTTTCACCTATTCTCTTACTTCCACAAGTCCACAACTTCATTTCTCCTTGTCCAGGATGGACCCTCTTTATTCTCCATCAAAGAGATGTGCCCACAGTGATGGGCTAGCTTGAAAACTGAAACCATGCTGAAACATGTCTCCTTCTAGACCTCCTTCTTTTGATGCCATTGCAAGGCAGAAAAGAAACACACCATAGTTCTGGGAAGGTTTCACTGATTGAAGCCAGGTTTCTGCACAGTGGTCTGTGGTCTTCTGTTACCTTTCTGAATTTCAGCCCAAGCCAGTCTCCAGTTTTGTCTTGTTACAGAAGGCTGCTGCATCTCTTCTCTTTATGAAGTAGCCATAAAGATCAGTCAGATAGTTGTGTTGTGCTCTGTGTATCCACAGAGTGGACTGAGTTTGTGAATTTGTCCAAGATGTTCATGAACAAGTAAAGAGGGGGAATCGCTTTGTTCCAAATGAGAAGTGTGGGCCAGCAAAGCCATGAGTGGATAGCAGACTGCCTCCCTTGGAGTACAGATGAGGAGATGTTGCTTGCTCTAAGTGTAATGAAACAGAGCTTGAGTAATCAGAGTGGAGCTGATTATTTGTTTCTTCAATATATAACCTTTGCACAAAGCTGAGTAAGCATAGCCTTTAGAGCTTTTTCTAGGGGCTCAACTGAGTGGTCCTTTGAGCTTCCAAGATTTGCCTTGTGAGAGAGTTTGTGCATGCACATAGTCTCACTGCGGTGTATCACTTACTGGAGCCGCTTTGAAATTCCAGGTAATGGTGCCAGCCTAATACAGGATCTGTGCAGCCAGAAAGCTGAAGGCCTGAGTCGCGCTTTCAATACTTCCTATAAATGTGCGCAAAGCTCACTTCTGCGTTGTGGGTGAGTTGTGATTGCTCAGCCTCCTCGCCTCTCTGTCGACCTCCATACCTGTTTGATACAACCCTTTAAAACAACCATTTCATGCTCCTTGGTGTGCTTATCTGAGTAGCAGGACAGCGTTATCTCATTTTGCAGATCAGCATGGAGACAGTAAATGGAGAAAGTAGAAGTCAATGCCACAATAGTGAGTTGAGCTCTGGTCTCTTATGTGTCGGACATGTTCCCTGACCTGATGTTTTATAAAGGCTATGCATTTACTGCTCTGTACCATCTGGCTTCATGAAAGAGAAAATGAAATGATGGTGAACTTGGCACTGCCACAGCTAGTCTACCTCCAGTTGATGCAGACTAGATGACCCAGAGGTTTGCTTAATGGTATATTGAGCCATTCCCTTCAAAGACAATAATTTGCAAGATCCATTTCTGCAGCCATGACCACAGTCTGTGGACTAGCTTATTACTTACCTTCTCCATCAGTGAGAGTTGTTGATCTAGGATTGGCTTCTTCAGCTAGCGTGCCTTGGTTGTCCTATCCCTGCCATTTCCCCCTGCCCCACAAGTTAGTTGGCTCTGGGCAGGAATTGGTGAAAGGAATAATCTGGTCTGTGTTCTGCAGTACGTCAGACTAGAGGAGTGTGGTTTGACCTCCTCTGATTTTGAGGGTGATTCTCTTTCTAGATACGCAAGCTTATTCCCAGGAGTTATTCCACTTTGAGGCAGATTGCATTCTTTCCTCAGTTCCAGATTACCTCTTTTCCAAAGCATTTTTCATTAAAGAGAAATATTTTGATCAGAATATTGACTTAAGGAAAAGGGGGCAGGAATTCAAGGCAGAGAAATAAGCATCCAGCCAGTATGTCAGGGCGAGACACCTGTTTTATATGTGCCTTGATGGTGTCTGTACCAGGATTCTGCTTCAAAGCCCTTTCAAATATTATCTGTGTTCCCTCCTTCTTCCAGCAGAAAACCCCCCCAAACCTTGTTAGCTTTTTCATCGTCATCACCGGCACACAGCCCTTATATTGCATCCCAGGAGCTCCCACTGCCGTTACATCCCCAGAAGGAGGACGAGGAAGAGCTCCTGACTCAGCTGCTGCTCCCTGACAGCATCGATGTGCTGGAGAAGGCCGACAGGAAGTACAAAAAGAAGAAGAAGAAGCAGCAGAAGAAGCAAAGACTGCGACAGTTTAATGACCTCTGGGTTCGCCTAGAAGAAAGGTAGCTGTCAGCTGGGGAGGGAGGAGGGTTTGTCATGCAAACTGGACTTCAACTTAGACTGATTAATCCAGTACGTCAAACTTCTGCAGTGCTTAGATACATGCTAAGGACAGGATTTGACCGTCTCCCTCACTGTGATTCTTCCTGAAACATTTACTCAAGGCTGTTTGTGCTTTTAGTGACAAAATAGCTTCTTCCACATGGTTAGCTTTGTGGAAAATTATGCATAATACAAGTGGAAGCCTTGTCTAGAACATTTTGCATTTGGGCTTGAGGGATTGTGAGCATATGGTAGTCCTCTTTATTACAGAAGGCTGGGTCCAGTGGTAGATGGTACAGATCAAAGCCTTGGACCTCTATCCAAGAGCTGCTGCATATGTGGAAACTGTCCTATCTGGTGTATGTTCTCCTTGCATTTGGACATTTATGCAGTATTTCCAGTCTCTGTATTCTTCCAGTCTTAAAAAGCATGTAAGCGCCATCACATTACTGGAGATCTGGAAAGGGAAATGACAACCTAATGGAAGATGGAGTTAATACAAAAAATGGAGTGTGTTGTGGGACAAAGGTTCACACATACCCTTTGGTTTTCATCTAGAAGAGCTTACTTACCTACAAGAACTACAGCAACCTGCAAAAAAAAGCTGTCTTCTCCGTCATTAGCTATACTTAGGCCTCTGGCTGAATGTGTATCTTAATGTTTTGCTCCTGTCAGATAACTCACAGACCTGAGTCTGCTCTTTTGTACTTTATGTCTTTGTATCTCTGCCATACTGAGGTTGAAAGTATTTTATTTTTGTGGTACTGTAAATAACCAGACACATCAGGATGATGGAGAAAAGCCTGCAGTTCTTGAAGTGAAGCCTCTACATTCTTTTTTTTTTTTCCTCTGAATAATATTTCTTCCTGCTCTCCAAGGTACTGAGTGTTTCAGGGTTCTCCTGTGCCTCTCCTATCATGTCCCTGGGTCCCAGCTGTAGCATTGCTTTCAGTAATACATTGCTTAGGCTGGCTGCAAGCTGGTGGAGCAGCTGTTGTTCTATTCCAAGCATTCAGCCATTGTCAGACTTTTTAGACCAGACTCCTTTTCCTCTTTTCTAGAGTATTTTTGTGCCCTCTCTGTGCTCCTCCTTTTAACCTAAGTGTGAGTAGTTTGTAGAGAAAGGGAGATAAATGCACATGGGAGGTTTGCATGCCCACTGGCAGACCTACACGCTGTCCTGGATTCACCACTACAACAAATCCTTATATTGATCACAGTTGATTTTGTCTTTTACTGTATCATTTACTTTCTATTAATGTAGCTGATACAAGCTGTTTGTGAATGGGGTTTTGGAGCTTCTATTTAGTTGAAATGCCAAGGAATGATTTGGAGCCTTTATGATCTCAAGCTCCCACCCTGCCTGCATACTGACATACTCAGTTTTTCACACACAGTTGTTCCCATGAAGCTGATGGAAGTCAGTGGGCACCCTGATGCGAGATACGCATGCACTTGCAGCATCAGTGCCTTCAGAAGAGGGAAGATGGGCAGATGTGCTACTGTGACTAAATTGGAGATACATTAGGGCTACATACTGGATTGCAAGTACTGCAAGGCAATAGTGAGGTAAAAGCAAGGCTCATAATGACAGCTTAGGAAACTACTGCATAGATATGGGAGCAGCAAATGCCTCCTTTCCTTTTCTTCTTTTGTGATGTTTCCTTTCTTCCCCTACTTAATTAAGTCGTCCTTTGTGCTAGAAACTTACCCAGGTGCTAGGTGACAAATTCGTTTTAGGGGTGAGTCCTTAGCAAAGCGCTTGAACGTCTGGAGATGGAGCTGTTGCATGACAGTACTGGGAACAAGTGATGCTAATTGCTGCCTGGGAGATTGCTGCACCCTTACTGCAGAGGGAAAGCCGGGAGTGCCAGAGAGGCAGCTGTCATTCACGCACAGCCCCCACCCGTGCTCTGGGTTTAGTCTTCGTGAAGCAGGGGCAATCGCCACCCTCCCTGCCCCGACACCCGTGCCTGCAAGCAGTCCCTGCCGCTGCGGGCTGCGTGGGCAGGCGTGGGCTGAGCTGACAGCCCCACCTGGTGGCACAGCCGCCGTGTGTCCCCACGGAAATCCAGCCCCTCTGGGCTCAAACGCGCAAGTGTGCAGAGCATGTCTCACTGGGAGTCTCAGCCCTTGCTTTAAGCATTCCCCGGGGTGCCCAGGCACAGGTAGAGCCGTCAGGTGTCTTATGCGTGGGCCATTCACAGCTTTCCTCCTGTGAGCCTGGAAATGTGAAAGGCACAGCTCAAGTGATTTAATACAGTCTTGTAATGGGATTGGCACAATTGCTTTCGTTCGTGCTCCTGTATGCATCAGCTGTCAGCTGTATTTCTTTCATGTGCTGCCAGCTGGCTTCTCTCCAGTTACTGTTCAAACCTTCTGTGGGGGCCTTTGGGTATGGAAGGGTAAGTGTTTTTTAAAATTATACTAATTGCCTTCAATTTCCCAAAGTGTTTTTCCTTAATGCAGCTGGCCAAAATAAGGCGAAAATGGTGCACAGCATCTGGGGAGTGGGTGCAGAAGAAATTTCTCTGCTTTTGTATTTGGCAGGTAGACTTGCTTTTAATTTTGTCTGAATTTGTCTTCTGGTTCCACACAGCACCATGAGGCCCTGGGGTGTATGTCAGCCTTACAGCTGTGGGGTCAAGCATAGCTTTCAATCCATTGCTGAAGAGAACAACACCTGTATAGTATCTGACCCTTCTGACTCTTGACCTGCCGTGGTGTGGGAGCTCCCCCTGTTCAGGAAAGTTGGTGTTAGCAGCCAGGAGTATACAAATTTCTCTCCTCCACCATGTGTTGCCATAATGGGAGTTCAGCATCATGTAGGCTTTGACTCAGTTCTTGTTCATCACCACCTCAGAGTCCTCACTACCACTGGGAGATACTCTGGGATGTGGTGATCTTTTCCTAGTGACTCTAGGATGCATTTCTGCAAGTGGGTCTTCCTTTCCTTAAAGCATATCATGTAAACCTTTTGTAATTCCTGACCTGTGGAAGGGAACATGCAGTATAGGAACAAGTTTGGTCCGCACTGAGATGCACATACAGAAGCATGGCTGGGGAAGATGGATTCAGCTGAAAGCAGGTGCCTCACTCCTTCTGTGCTCAGCAAGTGCCACTGCAGTGACACTCCTCTGCAACAAAGCTTGTCTTGTTTGTCTTACATATTTTCTGCTTAGTTGAAAGGCACTAGGAACATGGTCATTTTACCAACCTGACTGACTGTGTGGGAGCGTGGGCAGGCTGGTTGGGTAGACCTGAGTACAGGGCAGGTGTTTTGGTGCTGTCTCCACCCTCCTCAGTCTCTTACCTGTTCCCCCTCAAGACTGCTTCACAGTTCATCTGTGCAGCACCCTCGTCCATGTGGGCTCGTGTGGGAGCTCTGCACACCTGTGAGGAAGGGACGAGGCAGCACTTTGCCATTAGGAAACACTGTCCTTTGGGGAACATGAAACCAGTACAAGAAACCATTCCCAGGAACCCAGAAGACTGACAGTCAGGCACAGAGGCTGACCACCTCTTGCTCTGTGGGCACTGGGCAGTTCTGGGATGGGTCTGAACTGATGTTCTTCTCTTGCCTTGCAGTGCTACTGACCCTCCTCCTCGGATCCGCATCATTAACGGCTACATCACGGTCGAACCCCAGCCCCGGGGCCACGGACGCTCTAGTCACGCTCACGCAGACACCAGCAGCGCTCACCAGCTTTCCCATTCTCTCTTCCTCCTGCTACTGACTTTGACTTTGCATATGATAAAGCTGTATTGAAACACAGGGGGAGCCAAGCTGCAGGGCTCTTGCCTTAAAAAGCAAAAAAGAAACTTATGTGAAAAAAACAAAAATAGAAGACTGTGAGTGGGACACCTGTTCTTTGGAGTGTTCTTAAACTGTCTCCTTTTCCTGAATCTGGATCATTAACACTATTAACTGGTTTGACCTGCCCAATACAGGAGAAGATATTTTAATGAAAGTGTTATTTATCCTTCTCTTGCAGAAGAATGATTTCATGTTATCCCATAATGCTTTGGGGAGATTATAATGTTGCTATAACATAGCTGTTATTTAGTTGGGCTCATACAGCTAAACTACATTTTTTTCACCTTCAGTGCCTTGTAAGAAGATTTACACACCACTAACTTGTTTATTAGAACAGAATTATTTTGGTCATATGAGCACAGCTGGGAAAGAGAGGTTGGTATTTTATATCTCTGCTGGTAATGCTTTTAATTCTTGCTTGTTAGGGCTCCAGATTACATATAAAGATTCATGACAACACCACCTACAATAGAATAAAACAGTAAAGACCTGTGAACAGAATGTTTCTGCCGTCTGTTTGGTGCTGTTGTAAGATGGGTACATCTGAAACTCCAATGGCCAGACAAGTCTTGTAAGCACAAACTAATGTACATTTAAGAAAAAAAAATTGCCTGGGGAGCTTCACAGTCATTCTGTTGGACACTTCCAAAATAAGAAGTTCTCAAGAGGTGATTTGAGAAGCCCAAATGCAGGTTTTCCCTCTCCTTCTAAATCATGAATATATTACTATTTTATAGCTGGATTCACTTTTGGGGAGAAAGCGCATTCTTTTCCTGTTCTGCACAGTTAGACTTCATTCTAGGAAATCTTTGCAAGTTTTCTACTGATTTCAATGGAAATTCTCGGACTTTCTAAATTGTTTTAAGTCCTTTGCTATCTACTTAAAATGGACATGCTGTTAACTGTTGGATGTAGGCAGCTTGAGAGTGGTGATGAATTGTTTTCTGTGTTTGTACAGGACATCCTCTGGTGATCACACTGACTCATTTTGTGAGCAACATATCCCTCCCTCCTCTTGGGAGGGTTTCATTGCCTGGGAAGATCTCATAAGATTCATCCATGGGAGGGCTTGGAGCCAATGTGCTGAGCCTGGTACCTTGGAAACACAGCAGTCATCTGCCGCAGTGAGACAACAAACCCTCAGGTTTCCCCTCCTATGCATGTACACGTGCTTTGCTACTTTTTTCACTGCCTATAAAAAGTACCTGTTTTTCTCATCCTTCTACTGCACATTGGAGGAGGAGGAGCAAACAGTTCCAGCTTTCCTAACAGCTTTCCTCTTGATCTCAAATTTCAGTCCCCCTTCAGAAGTACTGAACCTGAACAAAGCCTCAGTTTGCTGAGGAAAATGGAGAAAGGAGAGGCTAAATATTGCAGTTTGCAGCTGCACAATAGGAATGAAATATATCTGGGCTGGACTAGAAGACGGCACCATCTCATTGTATATTCCTTCTTACAGGGAATATTACAACACCTCAGGGTCCCGAATGCATTCATGCTTCCTTGGTTTTACATAGCAGCCAGGCTGGTGATGTGCCTTCCCCATCTCTCTCTCTAGTTGATCTTTCACGGGTGTAGCCTGTCATGGTGGGCCCAGAGCTATTTTCCTTGGCCTGAATATGACCTGAGGGGAGCAGATCAGATGGGGGATAGCTTAGTTACTAAGATGCTCTGCAGGCCTGACAAACTGAGCACATACTTGTGTATTTACCAGTGCATCTGAGGGGGCCACCAAAACCATTTTTGACATTATGCCAAAGCAGCGTGTTCTGGCACTTGCTAACCCGTACATTGGTACTGCTTCTCCTCCCCCTGTCCTCTGTCACCTCTGTGAGGGGAGCTGAGTCGAGTGGAACAGCCACCAATGTTTTCCTCAGTTTGGCATGAGGGAAGAGTAAGTATAAAATGCTCAGGAATAACAGAGACCTTAAGTAGCACTATGGATAATTCAGTTCTGGTGGTGTAACTCATTTTATAGCCTGTCTCCAGGCTCCTGACTGTGTCAGGGAAATAGAGGTATCCTTAAACTCTGATGGATTGTGTGCCTACAGAGGCTGCATCCTGGGAGTTTTTCTGCAAAGTAATCCAATTCTTTGAAGGTATTTTTGAGGGTCTCATGGGCTTGGCTTCATGCCTGTGAACTAAACTAGTGGTTCCTACACCTTGCTTTTTCTTCCAGACCAGATATTGCTGACTGACCATGGGACACCAAAGTCTTGAAACTGTGAGTGGTATGGAGAGCAGAGCCTTACTCCAGCTGCACATGCTATTCAGCTGTTTACAGTGACCACTGGGGAGTGCTAGGTTTGGGTCCCATTGGTTCTCTCTAGTTCCAGAACAAGAAAAGTGTGCCAGACTGGAACAGCCTGAGAAGCTATTCTAATGACCAAGGTCTGCTCAGGTACTGTGCCCCCTTTTGTGGGCCGCAGATCATCAAGAAAGCAAGCATTCCCATCGTGTGCCTGGAAGAGTTCACTGTCCCTCTATCTGTCCCTCCCAAGCAGCTTTTGTTGCCTTGCAATTGAGATTCAGTCAAGGTTGTGATGGGTAGCAGACTTGATTCAGAAATCACAGTGAAGGTGCAGGTACTTCTTTCTTTAGCGCAGGGACTGAAACCTCCTGTTGTCTCCTGAGCTAGGTGCCTCCATGTCCTCTAAGTGCTATAACAAAGTTCTTTGTTACATCTGAACATCCTGGTCTGCCTTTTCCATTCTCTTTCTTTTGTACTTACTAATTGGCCTGTGCACTTTGCTGTTCCCCTCCTTGCTTAAATTGTTTTCATAAATCATCTCTCCGATGTTCTCTGTGGACAGATCTGTTTTGAGATGACTGGGACTCTTGCTGTGAGTTCCTTGTGGTCAAGATTTCTCCTTCTGTGTTGGGAGGCTGATGTTTGTGACATTATAAAAATTTGCAGAAATTAAAAACCTACCCACTTCAAAATGTACTGGTTTGATAATATAATTCCACACACCCTCTGGATTAAATTATAACGTAGGAGAATATAGGTTATAACAATCAGTGGTGTTCAGCAGTGTATTGTGAATTCTTGTGAATATTTGTTACTTGACTAAGTTTGGCTAATGGACTCCTGTGTTATGACGTATATGCTTTTTAATTATTATCAAAGTTCACATTTATGTATATAGCTAGGGAAAAAATGCAAACAAAGATCGTCCTTGGGAAAAGGCTTTGCTCATAAATTCCTGTTTCCTGAGATAGTCAGCACTTGCACTTTATTTCTACTTCCTGATGAAATGGACCAAGAATTAGACACCATTTATTTTGAACTTCGTTGACATTCCAACAGCTACCTCCTGCAATTTTACAGCTTTTCGTTTCTGCTGATGGTTGCTTTTAATGTGTTGAAGCTTTATTTTCTGATATGATATTTGGTTAGCAACTGGGATTTCTTGTGGAGCATTGCAGGAGGCATGACTATACTCAATCTGCTTTCATACACAGTAATCTGCTGTTATCTGACACAGCTTTTCTGTGAACTGTGACTGTCCCTTAGCAAGCCTGCTGTCCAGTGCTGGTTTACTCTCAAACCTTTTCAGATTAGGATGTGAAAAATAAAATTACTGTAAGAAAAAAAAAAATTCTTCAGATAGGGTCTAAAAATGTACACATCCCTCCTAAGCGATAATTATAACAATGTAAAAGGGGATGCATAAACTCTGCGGTTAACTTGCTCTAACCTCTGACATGCCTTAAGGACCTTGCATGCTTTTGTTATTTCAAAGGTGCAGTAGCTTGGAAGAACACAGAGTAGTGCAAAAAACCTTGCTCAGTGATTCACATTTCTTTCTTTGCACTTTGAAACTTTGAAAAGGGGGTGGTTTTTCTGTTTTTAACCATTCTGATAGCAAAATTATACTTCTAAAACAGGTTAGAGTGAAAAAGTGTAAGAGTTACAGACAGTAGGTAAATAAGTAGAAATGAAGAAATTTAAACACTCTGTTTCTTTTTTCTCTGTGCTCATTTTGTACCCTCTGCAACAGGGCTTCAGGGAAAAACACGATGCTCTTCAACTGGGGAAAAAAAGAGCCAGGCACTGAAAGAGCAGAGCCCTCTTCGAATACCAGTGTAGTCTTGTGGCTGGTCTGTTTTCTTCCTGTTAGAGTTGAAGCTGCAATTACACCATAACTGAGATAACAAACTGGTATAGTTCAGTGGATTCTTGTGACTCCTTTTGATCAGCTATCTAAAACACTGACTCAGTCAGTGGGTAGAAATCAGGCTGAAATCTCTTACTTAGATAACCAAGGAATGTGCTTTAGAAGATGTATTTCTCCAGTGGCTTGCTGTCTAGAAAATGTGGACAAAATGTGTCATTTACGCTTTATCACAAGAAATAAAATCTAAGCCATGAAAATAAATAAAAGAAAAAATGATCTTGTTATATCTGTGGTGAAACTGATTACCATTTTCTACCCTTCTACTCTGCTTCATCCAGACTGCTATCCTGTAACCACCAATGAACGTACATGAGGTTATTCAGGTCAGGTCTCATTCTGAAATTAATTTACCTTTCAAGATCACAGTCTTCTTATGGTGCAAGTTTGTCCTTATTGAGAAGACGGTATATATCAATAAAGGCTGGAAAAAGTCTCTATCACAATATATTAACACTCCTGCCCGCAAGCTGGCCACAGCTAGATTGAGTGGGTTAAAGGGAATAAAATTAGAAGTACACAGTGTTGCTGGCTGTTTCCTGTGATTCAGAAAAGTAACAGCCATCCAGCATTTATAGTCTGAAGACTGCTCTGAAGATACCTATGGTCTAGGCAGAGAATTGAGGCTCCTGCCTTTGGTCCCCTGAACCTTTCTGAGGTGTGTATCCTTCTGTATGGATATTTCCAGCAGTGTTCAGCTATACCTTATTCAAGAGCTAGGTTTTCCAGTGCTCAAGCAACCAGCTCTTTCCTGTTGGTGTCCAGGGCACTGGG